AAACCTCAGCAGGAATTAGTCACATGACACGCAATGAAAATCCTTTCAGACCTTTATAGAGATATTACTTCTCTCAAAAACTTCCAAGGTTATACAAAGCCGTTTCCCTTATTATGTTAAATATTTTATATTTTTATTTCATATTTCATTAGCATCCACGAAATGTATATAGGTAGAATGAAGTTAGCAAACTTATCCAAAATGGGGTAAAACATAAACTATATTGATGTTACCTCACCCCCAAGCAACCGGATAACAGATCCCCCACTGCATGAACCTACGTTGCAACATTCTTCTAGTTAGGAAGAATGTGGTAAGTCATAATTGAATGCTACAACGCAAGAGTCAAGAGTGAATCACTTACGCGTTCTCATTGTTATCCTCTTTACTAAAGAGGAGGTTCTCAATTACAGGGTGGAATTGAGAGAGCCTGTTTTCTTTCTGTGTAAGGGAAATATATAGATTGATCAGCTCTTGGCGCGGCTATGTTGAACTTAGGATCAAACACGTTTATTCTTGACACAACCCTGGGAGGGTAAATACAGCATGAATTTCATATTGTCCCGGCCCATCTTTGTGGCAAATATTAACTTGCAAAATTCAGATTTTATTTTGGTTACTGTTTTGTTCTAATTCATGTTTGTGCAAGGCTATTAGAGCAAACCTTCTAGCAATTTCCTGGTATGTGCTGCTTATGATGAAATCAGCGGCCTTCATTGTCACTGTGTCAGCCATGAATTGGCATGAGAAGTGATATTTGGGGTCCAACTCTTTCCACTTGACATTTGAGTCTTCGTACTTTGTCTTCTCTAAAGCATGTGCTATAAGTTTCCTGGTTTTCAATCATCCTATGGAATTAGTACATGCGGCAAAGAAGACACAAAAATTGTTGAAAGGAAACTTAAAGTTATAAACTTACAGCGACCTGAGTTATCCCAAGTTTTCTAGCCATAGATGCTACCAAATTTCCTTCAGTGTAATTTCCAATAACAAGATCTGGCTTCCCTGCCATGAACTCCAGAATCTTGAATGTTGCATCCTATTTTGCTTTATTTTAACGCACCAACAGTAGTAGATCAATTGGATCTGCTCAGCCAATTTTTTCATCTTTACAACTTTTGACATTTGTTTTTTCACTACCACAACTAGCTACACGACATTACAGCAACATTAGCATGACATAAATATAAATAAATAATTCTTGATGGATGAAGCTAGCAAAAAGTCCAACTGGTTGCCAGACACATCCCATATTCTGCTTTTGCAAACCATAATATGCCTAAATCATCTAACCCGAAGAATAAAAGGCAATCTAACCAGAGGAGCCATAGATTTCAAAACCTTGTAGGCTAATTGTTGTTGAGATTCATTTAATGAATCACTTTAAAATAGAAATATAACCAATGATAAATGTTGGGAAGAAAATGTCATGTTACAACAACTAGAAAATCCTTATCCCGCTTGGTAATACAATTCACCTTTGAGAGCTTTGGGATGGGACCCAGAGATAGCATATAACAGAGTAATGCAAATGCTAGAATGTCCCAGAATGCAGTGATGATCCAAGCACTCTGCCAGCGCTAACTGAAAGGCTCTGTAGCTTTGAAGCATACCTGTAGAAGAAAAATTAGCAGTGATTGCAACCAAGATAATAAATTGGAAGATGAATGCAATATGACAGTAAATTTCCATGAGAAAACAGCATTTCACAATAATTTATATTTAAATACTGATAAGAAATTTCTACAACAAAAATGGAGAACATATCGTTAAATGGAAGCCAAACACAATTAAACCCAGGGATATACACCCGTAAAATATTCCTTTAAATATATTCGAAAATTATAGTATCCAATATAGTCACCACTGAATTTGTACAACATTTGATCATTTTTATTTCTAGAAAGAACTGTTTTTGTGGTCTTCTTTGATCATGCATTTTCCTCTTGTTCAGTTGGTCGATAGGGAGTATGGTTAAAGCTGTTTCTGATGATGAACCCTGATTTTAACACTACCTCTTCCCTACTAATTATTGATTTTCATGTTATTAAGCCACAAAATCAATAACAAGCCTTATCCGATTAAATGGAAGGTCATTCACAAGGACCGATGCCATTGCGCTTTTCATAAAACCATTTATAGCAATTTCTTTTTAATTGTTTCTCCAGATGTTTTCTAAGGTCTTCCTCTCCCTTTTTTTTTTAATTGTACTAATCTTCTATTCGATTAACTTTCTCACTAAAGCCTTTATTTGTCTCTTTTTACATGACCAAACCTCTATTGATCTACATGATATCTTTTCACATGAAATGAGGACTATGGATATCATTATCAAGAAATTCCTGTATATATCCAACTTATCAGAACTTCGTTTTGTCTGTCAATGCACATCCTCCCAAACACAAAAAAAAATAAAAAATAAAAAATTGAAAAATAAAAAAAAATTAAAAATCAAACACATTGAAAAAGCATCATAAACAGAGCTGGCTTTGGTCATTACTCCACAAGTAGCAATCCGGCTCAGCTATTGGATTCACAGGATTTATCCATAGTATAGGATTCACATAATTGTATCCGCAAGCAGTTGGAGGTTTACAACACCCTCATTGTAATATAAGACTACTTGATTAACATCTGTTCTATTTTCCAAGAAGAAAAAAAAACAAATACAGGAGTTTATTTGCAAAGAAAGAAATTGAAGGAATCAACTTCAGAAATCACTAAGATCTGTCTAAAGAAGAGTTTGAGTAGTATGTACAATCACTTAAATTCAAACCTTATTGTCATCATTGTAAACTAAAAAAAAAAAATTCCACAATATACAGTCCAAAATATAGCAACCATAACATGACTAATATATTATAACGTGCAATAAAGACAAGCAAATGAGCTAAGTATTATTGGTTAATTAATTTAATTTGTCAAAAATTTCTTAATTTCCCTATATGTAAATCAGTTGGTAGCTTTTTAAGCTGGCATATAGACCTTTATAGGGGCATAATCATTCTTTCTATACTAGTCCATATCAATGGAATTTGGAATATAATGTTTGTTTATACTAATTACGCATTCTCAAGTCATGTTGACTTAAGACGTGGTTTTAATAAAGTTGTGGGTGATTAGATTTGGATGGACCGTAGTTACCTGTAGGTAGGACACAATTTTAGGATGGCATGCCTGTTAACCTCTAATTTGGACAGCAAATTGATCCATGTCATATGTGGTGGGCCAAGTTAAGAATAGGATAAAAAATCAGGCCCCACCCACTTCGAACATCACAGGCACTCTTCTTTAATCTTTCCCAACTCTCCTTATGCTATTGCTAGAGTAACTTCACAACTAAAACAGTCACTAAGATGGAGAAGGATATCATGTTTCACTAAACCCCAACAATCTAATTTGACCTACAAAATCTTGTTCTTAGTTGGAAACTCCAATTAAGCAATTCAAAACACATGAAGCCCAAACCTTATTCATCCTCTATATATAATGTGAATCCCTATGTAAGTTTTAATAGTTCTCAAGATTGCCATTGAAGAGTACATCCTTGAACTGTAATGTGATAACATGTGAGTCTGATTTGCATACATGAATAAAGTAAGGCAAATAATTTATGACACTAATAATCTTCATCTTGTTTGTTGAAAACCATCACTGAACCGATATTGGGAAGGAAAGAGGGATTTAGAAGAGCAAACACAACTAAATAACAGTTCAGTTTAGTCATTTATAATAATAATAGCTAACAAAGTCAGCAAATTGGTTTTCTTAACTCTCATGTCCTTAGCCTATATATTTCAAGACATAAATTAAAGGTGTGATGAGAGTTGAAGAACTGATTAGCAAGAGATGTAATCCTACGTGAGCTTAATGCAGACATCAGAATCAGCCAAACAATATCTTGTACCAACTCCCATTCTGCAGAAGGTCTCTTAATATTGGGTAGGAATTATTGACTTCTATGAAATGTCCATAGTATGCATGGATGAAAAAGATGTGAGGCACAGAAAAAACTTCTTGACGTCACGCATTTCATTTGGATTTCCTCTCTATAATTAAAAGTAAAAATTAATTTAATTAATTAATGATTAAATTAAAAGTATAATAATTTTAGTAATGAAATGTAGCATGACTTAAAAAAATTTATGACATGGTATAAATTTACCTACCAAAAACCCTTCCAATGTTGAGCAAAATAGAAATTCTCTTAACTAATTTGTAAAGAGAAGTGTTACACCGGCCGAATTATATATGCGACACTTAAATTAACGATAATACAAAAATATAACTTTCCCGGAAGATTTTTGGGATAATGACTTTCGGAGGAGGATTAAGTAAATTTTGGGATGTTAAAGTACCCAATTCACGGAGAACAAAACGTACAAATTGTGTCATTGACAAGACTTTGGTAATAACGATATGACAGAAAGTTCCAAGTCCTTTATGAGCATATATATGGATACACACTAAACCCAAAAAAAGAAATTATGGCAAGAGATATTCAGAGAAGTTTAGCGTCCCTCAAACGCTTTAGATCGTGAATGAGCGCGGTTAAATTATTGTGAGACGAACCTCCTTCTTTAACAGCTTTTCTGGCCTTTTGAGCAAACTCTTTTGCGCGGCGTCTGATTTGTGTTGCTTCATCACCGGCGTCCATCAAGCGGGTGATAGCATTCTGAATGCTATCTCTGGTGACCAACTTGTGTCTCTCCCCAAAACCAATGGAGGTCCACTCCGCTGCGCCAACCTCCACCCCAATACCCCGCACCTGAGTTATGAGCTTCTCGTTATAAAACTGTTCTCCATGCACAGGCCAGGTAAGCATTGGAATCCCCGCAGTGACAGCCTCGACGGTGGAGTTCCAGCCGCAATGCGTGAGAAAGGCCCCCACGGCGTGGTGGTTGAGAATAAGCAACTGAGGGGCCCACCCCCTAATGATCATTCCCTTCTCTTTCTCTTCAAAGCCCTTAGGCAGCCACTTCTCCTTCTCTTCCTGCCTCTCATTCTCCTTCCCTTTCTTCTCCGGAACCACCCATATGAATTCATGACCCGACGCTTCTATCCCGCATGCTATCTCCTGTAGCTGCTTATCAGGGAAATGACAAAGGCTCCCGAAGCATATGTACACCACCGACTCCACTCGCTTCGAGTCCAGCCACGTCAGACACTCCTCCACGCTCACCACGCTCTTCTGGCCCCTCTCCGCTTTCTCTTGAGCACTTCTGCCAATAAGAGAGGCCGGCCCCAGATGCCAGGCCTTGTGGCCCGTGCTTTTCTCGTAGTAACCAATGTACTCTTCTCCGTCCAGTTCCAGGAAGCTGTTGACGATTAAGCCATGGCTTTTGAGCTCCGTCTGGAGCATGGTGTGGAGGAATTCAGTCAACTCCTTTGGGGGGGTTGCGTTGATGGTGATGGGGTGAGGGAGAGTCGGAATGTGAAGAGAATCATTATCATATTCATATTCATGGGGAGAGCCCACGGCACAGATGGTGAAGAGGGAGAAGCCGTTGAAGGCCAGTCGGGGGATGCAAAGCTTGTTCGCAAGCTCATCCACCCAAGGGAACAGAAAGTCCGCCACGATGCAATCCGGTGGGTGCTGCTCCACGAATTCCTCGATGGGCGGCTGGAGCATGGCGGTGGCGTGGAACATCTTGGCGAGGTTTTCGGCGTCCTCAACGGAGGAGATGTTTTCGATGCCGTCGGGGAGGCCCGCCTCCTGGGAGGGGAAGTGGACGGCGTGGAGGCGGAGGAGGGGGTGGGAGGGGATGGATTTGCGGAGGACTTGGGCGTTGGAAGGGGTGGTGATGATGGTGACGTTATGGCCACGTGAGGCGAAGAGTGTGGCTATGTCGCATAGAGGGATCATGTGACCTGCTGCTAAGAAATGTATGAAGTAGAGTTTGAGTGGCCCCATTTCCTCCATTTGGATCGACATTCACAACACAACTCTTAATTCAATTTCCCTTCCTCGCCTCTCTTCCTACTCTCTTATACTCCGCCAATTTCACTCGCAGTATCTTTCCTCCTCAGACAGCTCCAAATGGAAAGAATACAACAACCAATTCTTACTCTCCATCATATGCTCATGCTATGTCATTAATTATTTTTATATAATAATAAATAAATAAATAGAAATATGCATTTATTTGCTAAATGGTAATGTCAGTTTAAAAAATCAACTAAAATACTTGTTAAATAATTAAATTAATACTATATAAAAAATAAATTGCTTTATTTTTTATATTTACATACTATCTCACACTTAATAAATTAATACAACAAATAATAATATATAATTAATTAATCTATCTACTCATATATTTATAAGCATTTTATTAATAATATTAAATATCATATATTTTTTTATACCTTTGTGCAATTTATTTAAATAATATATTATTTTTAATTGCATATAGATGGATATGAAAAGTAATACGTTGACTCTTTTAAAGTGAGAGGTATATTTAAAAAGATAAAATATATTTATAAATATTAATTAAAAAATTAATGATTGAAATTTGTGATAAAATTAAATTTTTATAAATTAAATATAAGATTAATTATAATATCAATTATTAATTTTTTAATTAATAATTATTATTACACTTTATTCTCATAAATATTTTTTTTTTCATTTTTAAATTAGTCAAATCTTTAATAATATATTATATTTATTAGATATGTTAATACATTATATTTAATAAAAATCAATTTAACAATACAAGTTTTTTTAAATTATAGAAGCTAAAATGATTAGTTTTAAATTTAAAAAATTAAAAATAAATTTATCATAAATTTGATGTAATTATAAATATATTTAGTCTTTACTTAGTTTATAAACAAATCTAACTTGATAATATGATAATTTGTTTCATTAATTTAAATTAATAAATAATCATAAAAATATGTTATCAATCAATTTAAATTAATGAAATAAAATTAAATAATTTTTAAATTTTTATAAATTTATAAATATAATTTATGTATTAAAAA